GTGTTGAGGGCGTGGCTGGAGATACAGATGGGGGAGGGAAGTAGGGACATATGACAGATGGTTTAAATCCAAGCCAAGTTTGTATTTATTTGGAGGGCAATGGGAAGCCTTTGAGGGGATCGAAGCAGGGGTGTGGCTTGGTAAGGCAGGTGTTTTAGAAGGCTCTTTCTGGCAGTTAGGTGGAGACTGGTCCAGAAGAGAAAGGACTGGAGAAAGGGAGATCAGTTAGAATGTAGTTTTATAAGCTAAGGGAGAAATGAAGGTCAGTAGGGACAAAGGATGAAGGAGTAGGGAGTGGAGTTTGGAGATGTCAGAGGCAGAAGCTATGGAAACCTTCTTAAATCACTGCATGTACTTAAGAGGCAGTGTTTAAATTCTGGCTCTTACGCTTTGGGGAATGAGTCATTTTGGAAAGCTGAGTTTTCTATAAAAATGTGACTTTTCAATCCCTCTTGGCATCCACCAACATTTAAAAGATGTTATTATTGTAACTATTATTTGAAATGCTTTAGTTGTATCATACTTCATCTGAAGGTGGCACTGAACTGTCACAAGCACAGAAGCTTTGGCGATGAAGATCTGGGTCCCAGACTTTTCTCTGCCCTAGCTCTAGAGCTCAGCCAAGTCACTTCATCACTTTGAGTTCGCTGCCTCTTCAAAGTGGGGTCAGGATCACCCACCTAGCAGGTTTTTCTGGTCTTTGGGGAGGTAACGTACACAAAGCTCTAAGCATAATACGGGCATATCCTAAGTGCTCAGCAAGTTAGTCCTCCTCCCTCTTCTACCTTCTCGTGATGCCCTGGGCTGATGCCATGGACACTTTGCGCAGGGCTCTCTGACCTTCCCTGAAGGACCCCAGAGCAGTGCTTCTGGACTTCTTGTGTCTGCTTTTCATGTTTTCTTTCCATGTCTTCCCCCATAACCTGCCATTTCGTACTGCTGTCATCACCCAAATAATAGTTGTTCTCTAACTCCCTTACATGTTAGTTAACAGTTAAGTGTTAATCATTTAATCTTTACAACTTTATCAACCAGGTACTTTTATTATACATTTCGCAGCTAAAAAGCTGAGGCACAGGAAGGTGAAGTGATTCCCAAGGGCACACTATTAAGTAGGGGAGTGACTTGAATTCAGGCAATAGGTCTTCAGAGGCTATTCTCTTAACCACACATTATGTCACAGTTAATTGACTGAAGACTGGAGGGCAGATCTCTTTTACTGGTGTTTCCTTTCAGGGCAGACTTTCAAAATGCAGGAGATGTATGGCCAGTTGGGGTTGTTAATGGCGATCTTCCAGAGCAGACTGAGACAAAGGAGAAGCACTAAAGGTAGAGGCAGGTTCAAGGCAGGAAAGCCTGGTTGTTGCATCTTATCCTCTTTGTGGCTTTTAGATTAAAAATAAAAGGCTTGATGAGAAGAATGGACAGATTCAACTTCCCAAATGGTGTGATGTTGTTTGCATAATGTAAGTGGGGGGGGGGGGCTCAATCGAACCCACTAACTATCTGATACAGATTCTCCTTCCAGAATAGTACAAATTTAACTTTTTGTATACAATTGTAGGGAATTCCAAGGTCTGTGTTTGGACATGAAACTTAGAGGTTCTTTATGGAAGAGCTGTGGACCTGAAAATCAGAGCCTGGGGCTTGAGTTTACTTTTCTACCGCCATTCTCTGCGACTGCAGGCAAGCATCTACCCTCTGAGCCTCATGTATAAAATGGAATGATCATGCCTGGCCTGCTTCCCTCGCTGCAGTGGACTGTAATGATGGCTGTGGAAGGTGTGGTAAAATGCAAAGTGCTGTGCAAATGTTATCAGCACACTGAGGTTCAAAAAGTTTACTCACCTTGGGTCACATAGCTATTTAGTGGCAGAACCAAGGTTCAAACTGAAAGACACTGTAGTCTCTGGAATGTGTGTGTGTGTGTTTAGGTCTCCCTCCAAGAATCTGAAAAAGGATCAAATGAGATAATGCACATGGAAGGGTCACTTAGACTGTAAAGTGAATTACTCCTGGACTGAATTTAAGATTTCACATCCCATCTGCCTGTGGGATTCAGGACTTGTCGGATGAAGGGCTGAGGGGGATGGTGGAAGTGTGTCAATCAGAGATGCTGCTTATGGAGACAGTTAAGAACCCCTCCCACATCCAGATGAACTTCTGGACTTTCAGGGAAATCTGCTGGAGCTCTGCAACCTCACTGACCAGCACATTTGACTCAGCATGTCAAGCTTTGAGAGTAGAAATTTTAATACAACTGCAGACTTATTTAATGTTTTTAATGTCACCAATAAAATCTATAAAAACCTGAATCCTCTTATACTGAAAAGTAAAGACTCCATCAAAGAACTCAGAACTTGGATGCTTGCAATTCAAAAATGAACACCTGTGTGTCCCAAAAAACTAGTGGTGCCCGAGCACGACACCATTGTAAACCAGCAAACTCCAAGCTGCACCTTCTGAGAGGCAGCAGGAAATTGGCAATACTTCCTTAAACCTTCAAACAATTTCTCCAAACATAGAAATGATAATCCAAGAAATACAAAGGAGTGAACTGGATTGAGGCAGGGATGACTACAGCCCTGGAATGTCACTCTAGACAGCTGGGCAAGAACAGAGAACACGTGTTCTGACTGACACACTTCTGTGTCTGGAGGCTGGGATATAAAGCCCAAGGAAGCAGTAAAGCCAATGGTAGGAGGAAGAATTACAAAGGACACTGCTGTTTCTGTGGGGACAGTAAGTCACTTAATGTTTTTCTTGGATCCTAACTTTATATGTCATTTTAACATTGTGTTTGTAAGAAAGGACTTAACATTGCTCTGGCCTCCTGTTCTAAAGCTCAGTAGAACAGAATGGCATGAGTGAACAGTGATAACTAGCTGAGGTGTCTCCTAGCAGAGGGACCAATACGATAGGATTTCATGAGACCGAGCAAGAACTTTTCAAGGCAGGGTTGAAAAAGGGTGTGTAAACTTCATACAGGTTCAAGTAGCATTTAATAACTTTTATGAAATCGGTTTCAGAGTAAAGTCTATATTATTGGAATACAGAAGTGAAGGTGATAGAGGGGAACAATATGATGAAGTCAAACCCAAATCAGATGGAACAGGTCATACATGAGAGTGAACTCAGAGTCGCCTCCCTCCAGTCCCCACCCACACCATTGCTGCTGGTCCTGAGTGTGGCCTGAGTTCAGGGCTGTTGCTTCTCCACAGCAGCTACAGAACATGGGCTCCCTGGAGAAAGAAGAGCTGGCGCCCGAGTACATCTGTAGCATTGGAAATGATCATCTTGTGGGGCCATCAGTTTAGGAAGGTGGGAGTGGAGCTGGAGAGGAAGTGCTCAGGTTGAACTACCCCGCTTTGGGCCTCTTTTCCTTACAGCCTCCCTTGAGAGACCCCTGGGGCCAGAGAAGGCCTGTACACAGGCAGATGTAGCACTAGTCTGTTAGGAACACACTTCTCTTAAGAGAGTGTTCAGGGGAGGTCCCTGGTTTGCGTGTCAGAGAAAAGACACAACGTGGAATTTTCCTGGCCAATGCCCATTTCTGGGCAGAGGGAAAATGACCAGGCATATCTCAGGCTGTTGTTAGAGTCTCCTGAGAACCCCTTGGTTTGGGTCAGGGTTAAGACTCTTCTGGGCATGTACAAAATGTCAAATCAGGGTCCCAAATCCTAGGATAGAGACCACAGGTGATACAAAAACAGATACGGAAAAACATTTCAAGACTGAAAAGAAATCACTAGTGGTGAAGGTATAAACAGTTCTTGCAAGAACTAAATTCCCAACCCCAAATCCATAGATTATTAAGAATCCACATTTACTAAATCATCCCAAATTATTATATGTAAGTTCAGGCAATACATGTCTTCTGAGCTGAGCCCCCAGGTTTGCTCTCTTAAATAAATAAATGAAATCAGAATTTTCAGCCACAGAATCCCTTTCATTTGAGATAGGAGTCTACAATCTACTACTGAAACATTTAAACAGTGAAACAGTGGGGCAGGTTCCTTATTAAAGCCAGGCTCAGAGTCCATGGGGTGGCTGATCAGATTTTGGTGACAATCAAGGTGCTTCAAACACCAAGTGACAAGGTCCAAACATATGATGGAATAGAGGGAGAAAAGAGCAAGAGAGAAGTTGTGTTCATTGACCGACCAGCAACCTGGGGGCTGGTGTCCATGAGGCTCTACCTGCCCAAGTGCAAACCTAACAGCAGCTTCCTGCAGCTGGGCCAGACACTGCAGTCCTGGTACTGGTCCTCTTCAGACTATCTCACATTCACATGGGGAGCTTAAACAGTTTCTCACACTGCAATGGAACAGCAAATAACTCCCAAATGGAACCTGGGGACCCAAGGCAGCAGCAATAAATAAATATCTTGCTATATGTCAGATGCAGTCCTCGAACACAACCTTACATCTTAGTAAAGGAGTCAGGAAGTATCAACAAAAATGATATGCCTTTTGTTTTCCTACAACAATATTTAATCTCCATACCAAGAAGTCCCATTTGACTTTTTCCCCCTGCCTCTTAAAATTAGGTGACAAAGTAGAAATCCAGTCATGAAAAGAAAAAGGCAGGGGTGTATGAGCCCTGGCTCAAAGAGACATATCATGTACACCTGGTGGCACAGGTCAGGCAGAATGGTCCCAGACCCTGTGTGGAGAAGATGGGCACTGGAGAGGTAAAAATCCTACTTCATGATCACTCACACTTTAACAGCGCATTAGTCATTGAACAAAGGTGAGGTGAACGGGGTCAGGGTGGAAGAGTTGTAATTCTCTACAATGAGGATTGGGAACATATACTCGTGGATGGGAAATTTTAAGTAGCTATGTTTATTATTACTTTTTTCCAGCAATCTTGCAAGAGGCAGAAGTGTGACATTGAGTTGAGTGAGACGAGCGTGTAAATAGGTTGACGAGGAGCCCTCCTCTTGATGCAGGCCTCTGGCTTGTCAAGGAATGGCTGGTTCCACCGCTGAGCCATGTTTACTCTTTTGCTTCAAGGAAAAGGGTTTCTTGAGGGAACAACTTTACCTCCAATAATGACTTATTTGGGTCCAGCTGGGTTACCTAAAAAGAAATAAAATATATACTCAAAAGACTAGAAGAAGCACTATTTTCTCTCATGGCATTCAGATCGTGTCCTGAACTTTGACTCTGAGCCTACTATGTACCAGCACGAGCATTTTCACACCTACTATTTCATTTGATTCTCAAAATAACCCTGTGAGGTAGGTGGTGGTGTCCCCATTTTATAACCAAGGAAACCAGGGCTCAGAGAGGCCAAGTCTCATAGTTTAGTGGAAGAACTAGCATTTGAACTCAGGGTGTTGCTTCAGAAGCTGGAACCTCTTCCTGGGCAGGTGGAGACCCACAGCTCAGCTGGGGCAGCAGAGCAGGAGGGCCTTAGGAAAGGGTGCTGGTTAAAAACCGATTGGCATTCCAGAGGACACATATTTGTTTAACTCTGGACAGCAGGGAGGGCCTTTTCTGTTTGGTGGGAGAGAGCTAAGCTTTTGGGGTTGATCTTCCTGCTGAACACACCTGCAGCAGAGACTATATGGTGCCCACCCCACAGAGCCCAGTAAGGAGCATCTCCCCTGCTGAGGAGAGGCTCCCTAGGGAGGCATATCAGTCTCCCTGTTGGTGGCATTGGTGAAGATATTTAGTTCCAAAAAAAGGAGGAAGTTGATGCCATAATATGACTTTTTATTTTATTTTATTTTTTTTTTTTTGGTCTTGTTTGATCTCACAAGACCTCCAAAAATTGGTTGGTGAGGTAAAACTTCTTTCTTGGTTCTACTTCACTTAGTCTACACGGCAGCACCGGAGACTAAGCGCAAGCAGAAGCAAGAAAGAGCATGCTGCCTACTTTATATTTTAGAAATAAAAATTATTTTATAATATGAACTAGTACAGATAATAAATCTAGACAGAGTCTTCTTGGCTCATTGGGGTATGTTAATCATACCCAAATCAAAACCCTATATTAGGTTTTATGGCTTCCTTGGTCACCAGCAAGGATGTAATGTAGAGGTTTTCTGAATCTAACAGTGAGAGAAAAAAAAAAACCCAAACTTTCCTAAAGGAAACATGAATTTTAAAAAACTGAGACATACTAATACTAATCTAGTGATGAGGACAATGGGCTGTGACTCCAGAAAGATTCTGGTTTAAACCACAACTGCGTAGCTATTAACTTTGTGGCTTTGGAGTTAGTATCATCCCTGTAGGACTGATATGAGGATTAAGTGAGGAAAAACATAATTAGCACAGTGTCTGGTACAGAGCAGGTATTCAATGATGGCTGCCATATATGTGAGTAACTATAAGGGTGGATGATGGACACAGAGATAAACGGACGGCTCCAAGTCTGTGTGATGGGAGGCCGGGCAGTCTGCTTTGGGTACAGTCAGATTTGTGCACAGGAGCTCTGGGCCCCTAGGCAAAGACTACAGCACCAGAGATGGGCAATCTTGTCCTCTGCTCAACTCAAGCCACACCTAATGAGATGGCTCTGCTCTCTTCTCCAAGGTGATGGGGAGGGGACACCCTGGGGGCCTGAGTGTCACAGGCAGGCTGGTGAGCTGAAGAGGGGAACACTATCTTTGACTGTATCCAGATGGAAACCTGGTATGCCCAGGAGGGTCACTAAAGAGACACATCCGCCTCCAGAATCCTCCGTGCTTACAAGGAGCCCACTGCAAGGCTGCTCTACTGATATCTCTTGGGCTCTGGGCAGATGGGCAGACAAGGTGGTGGGGAGGGCCTAGCCTGCTGTCTGTCTTCCAATGCACAGGGGGTAGGGTGGGGGGTGGTGCGGAGGGGGGGCAAGCTGCAGGCAAATGTTTACCCACTTCCCCAATTAACGTACAACACTGCGCTGGCTTCTGTCAACAAACAGAGCTATGCTGCCTCTGCTTCTGACTCGTTGGTATTTTCTGCCCAGCTGCTTCTGCTATTGTTCTTAATTAACAAGCCAGAGCTCTTCCGGCATCTTCTACTTTGTTATTTGTGGTTCGTAAATATGATGTTTGCTGGGAGAAACCAAAATCATAAAAGTGCCAAAGCTGTGCATACCAGCAGAAAGATAGGCTAAGAAGCAAAAGAGGCTGGGAGATTGGAGCCTCGAGGCTGTATTATCAGTATACAAGGTTAGATGTTCGGAAAACACACCCAGTCTTCACTGTGTCTGATAAGTTGAGTGATTTTTCCCAGTCACTTTAAGTGGAGAGCTGGGATTTGAGAAGGAGAAAATTAATTTTTTGAACACCTATTACATGTCGAGCACTTTAAATATGTTATTTCATTTAATTCTTAAAAAACTATGCAAGGTAAGACGGAGATGACAGAATTGAGGCTCAACATGGCTGCCACTTGTTTAAAGCTACATAGTTAGTGAGGGTCTGTCTATATAGTACAGTAGTTAAAAAGAGTGAAGTAACAGATTCAAACTCTAGCTCTGTTACTTACTACTTATATGACCTTGAAGAAGTAATACAACCCAAGAGTCTCAGTTTTCCTACCTATAAGATGGGAATAGTAAATTTCTCTTTTATAGGTTGTTGTCAGATTGATTATATTCTTTGCAGCCAAAGATGGAGAAGCTCTATACAGTCAGCAAAAACAAAACCGGGAGCTGACTGTGGCTCAGATCATGAACTCCTTATTGCCAAATTCAGACTTAAACTGAAGAAAGTAGGGATAACCACTAGACCATTCAGGTATGACCTAAATCAAATTCCTTATGATTATACAGTGGAAGTGAGAGATAGATTTAAGGGACTAGATCTGATAGAGAGCCTGATGAAATATGGATGGAGGTTCGTGACATTGTACAGGAGACAGGAATCAAGAGCATCCCCATGGAAAAGAAATGCAAACAGGCAAAATGGTTGTCTGAGGAGGCCTTACAAATAGCTGTGAAATGAAGAGAAGCAAAAAGCAAAGGATAAAAGGAAAGATATTCCCATTTGAATGCAGAGTTCCAAAGAATAAGAAAGGACAGATAAGAAAGCCTTCCTCAGTGATCAGTGCAAAGAAATTGAGGAAAACAACAGAATGGGAAAGATTAGAGACCTCTTCAAGAAAATTAGAGATACCAAGGGAACATTTCATGCAAAAATGGGCTCAATAAAGGACAGAAATGGTATGGACCTAACAGAAGCAGAAGATATTAAGAAGAGGCGGCAAGAATACACAGAAGAACTGTACAAAAAAGATCTTCACGACCCAGATAATCACAATGGTGTGATCACTCACCTAGAGCCAGACATCCTGGAATGTGAAGTCAAGTGGGCCTTAGAAAGCATCACTATGAACAAAGCTAGTGGATGTGATGGAATTCCAGTTGAGCTATTTCAAATCCTGAAAGATAATGCTGTGAAAGTGCTGTACTCAATATGCCAGCAAATTTCGAAAACTCAGCAGTGGCCAGAGGACTGGAAAAGGTCAGTTTTCATTCCAATCCCTAAGAAAGGCAATCCCAAAGAATGCTCAAACTACCACACAATTGCACTCATCTCACACGCTAGTAAAGTAATGCTCAAAATTCTCCAAGCCAGGCTTCAGCAATACGTGAACTGAGAACTTCCAGATGTTCAAGCTGGTTTTAGAAAAGGCAGAGGAACCAGAGATCAAATTGCCAATATCCGCTGGATCATCGAAAAAGCAAGAGAGTTCCAGAAAAACACCTATTTCTGCTTTATTGACTATGCCAAAGCCTTTGACTGTGTGGATCACAATAAACTGTGGAAAATTCTGAAAGAGATGGGAATACCAGACCACCTGACCTGCCTCTTGAGAAACCTGTATGCAGGTCAGGAAGCAACAGTTAGAACTGGACATGGAACAACAGACTGGTTCCAAATAGGAAAAGGAGTACGTCAAGGCTGTATACTGTCACCCTGCTTATTTAACTTATATGCAGAGTACATCATGAGAAATGCTGGGCTGGATGAAGCATAAGCTGGGATCAAGATTGCTGGGAGAAATATCAATAACCTCAGATACGCAGATGACACCACCCTTATGGCAGAAAGTGAAGAAGAACTAAAAAGCCTCTTGGTGAAAGTGAAAGAGGAGAGTGAAAAAGCTGGCTTAAAGCTTAATATTCAGAAAACTAAGATCATGGCATCTGGTCCCATCACCTCATGGAAAATAGATGGGGAGACAGTGGAAACACTGTCAGACTTTATTTTTTTGGGCTCCAAAATCACTGCAGATGGTGACTGTAGCCATGAAATTAAAAGACGCTTACTCCTTGGAAGGAAAGTGATGATCAACCTAGACAGCATATTAAAAAGCAGAGACATTACTTTGCCAACAAAGGTCTGTCTGGTCAAGGCTATGGTTTTCCCAGTGGTCATGTATGGATGTGAGAGTTGGACTGTGAAGAAAGCTGAGCGCTGAAAAATTGATGCTTTTGAACTATGGTGTTGGAGAAGACTCTTGAGAGTCCCTTGGACTGCAAGGAGATCCAATCAGTCCATCCTAAAGGAGATCAGTCCTGGGTGTTCATTGAAAGGACTGATGCTGAAGCTGAAACTCCAGTACTTTGGCCACCTCATGCGAAGAGCTGACTCGTTGGAAAAGACCCTGATGCTGGGAGTGGTTGGGGACAGGAGGAGAAGGGGACGACAGAGGATGAGATGGCTGGATGCCATCACCGACTCGATGGGCATGAGTTTGAGTAAACTCCGGGAGTTGGTGATGGACAGGGAGGCCTGGCATGCTGCAATTCATGGGGTCGCAAAGAGTTGGACACGACTGAGTGATTGTACTGAACTGTGCTAGTTAAATGGAATAATGGTGATGAAGGCTCTGGTACAGAGACTGAGCCAGCAAGTGCACAGCTGGTAGCAGCCATTACTAGCTGGAGCACTGCCTTGGGTGGGGACTGGATCTGCCTAACTTTAGCTGGAGCTCTTTCCCCAAAGTTTTCTGGAGCCGAGGCCTGCACTAGGCTCTCTCTCTTATTTCCGTCTTGTTGCTCAGCAGAAGGGCTCTCTTTTCTCTGATAGATCAATGTCTCAATACTTGGAGAACCCCTTCAGTAGGGTTGTGCCACC